GTATAGTATAGTATAGTGTAGTGTAGTGTAGTGTAGTGTAGTGTAGTGTAGTGTAGTGTAGTGTAGTGTAGTGTAGTGTAGTGTAGTGTAGTGTAGTGTAGTGTAGTGTAGTGTAGTGTAGTGTAGTGTAGTCTAGTATAGTCTAGTATAGTCTAGTATAGTCTAGTAGTAATGTAGCAAAGCATGCGACGGGTCCATTCTTTACACTATCCAAGCTACTAGTACAAGCGACTGACAGCAGGCGCAATGGGACCCCGAAAGCTCCTGAACAGCGTGTTCCAGATCAGGGTTCCCGAGGGAGGTTAGGGAAGTTTTTCCCTTTAGGGTTTAGGGTTTAGGGTTTAAAACTTAGGGTTGAAGTTAGGGAAGTTTAGGATTTAGGGTTTCGACTCTTCTCGATTTAGGGTTTAAGGTTTAGGGCAGTCTGAGCTAGACCTCCGTATAGTTCTCTGGAGCCCGGTCCCTCCGCACATTTTTTTGTATCTCCCTGGACGTGTACACTTGCATCTCGCTCAACGTACAGCACTTCTACAAGGAACCCCAAACCCTTGTTTTCCTACACCCAGCATCGAAAAACCTTAAAACCAACACAACAACTCTTGAAAGAGCCCTGATAGAAACCTTCTAACCCCCAGATAGGAACCCCTTGATCCCTCCCCCACGGAGCCGTGAACTCCTTGCCGCCAGTGAGGAGCTGCACTCCTGGATCTCAAGCCAAGAACTCTGGAAGCTCTGACGCTTCAACAAACAGTGGGGTTTAGGGCTGTGAAGGTTTTGTGGTTTCTTTTGACACTCGCACTCAGACAAATCGTCAACCGCGGGCTACGTCGATCCACTCGGCAGGCAAGACTGTCAGACAAGGCTAGGCAAGAGGAAGAACAACAAGCATCAAACCGACAAAGAAACCCAACCAACAGCAGTCCCTCAGACCTCGAAAATGTGACCAAACAACCAAGACCTAGTTCAGCCCTGAGAGGGACGTGTACATCAAACCTCACGCCACAGGACCCCTTCCTCACCTCTTCACAACTATGACATGCAGAGGGCTTCAGACTGTCATGCAGAAAACCAGTTGCAGAATTCCAGCTCGTCCTGATAGACACGTCCCCATGCTTGCATGCATCCACGCCAAATTCGAATTGACATGCCGAGGTTTCGGGGTTCAGGGTTTGGGGTTTTAAGGTTTTAGGTTTTCAGGGAGGGTTCAGGGTTTAGGGCTTGGACTCTCGCAGCGCAACTCGGACAATGCAGGCGAGGTTGATTCGGTTCGGCAAAGGCTTTCAGGTTCAGGGTGTTAAGGCTTCCTGATCTCGGAGTTTTGGGTTTGACTCGTCTGGTGCTCTAGACTAGACTAATGCGGCTTGGAGGAGCGTTAGGGGGCTTGCGGATTTCAGAATACCAACCACTCTCTGGTCTGAACTGCTGTGCCGATCTTTCACAGACGCGGCAAGGTGTAGGAGCCCCGTGGTCCTGGGGACTGCGACACCGAAGCCTCTGAGACCCTGTAGTCCCTCGTCTCAAGTAGCGACCCTGAAACGGACACTCAAAGTCGAGCAGCTCATGGTCTCGCCGACCACTTTCCGAGTGATCAGAAACTCGAACCTGAAGCAGAGCTCCGAGGGAGAAGCTTTTTGGGGCTCCATGCTTGTGCCATTACTGACACTACTTGGAGGTTCATGGGTAGTTAAGTGGAATGGTAAGTCCCCTACTATGGGTTATAACTATAGTTACCTTCCTTATAACCCCACTTATAACTACTCACGAACCTCCAAGTAGTGGCCGGAACTGTGGAGAGCTCCCTCTCTGCACGGTGCCCTACACTTGTCACTAGTCGGGCGGAGAGAAAGCAAAACCAGAAACCCAAGACCCTTGTCTCCAAACATGCATCTCGAAGCCTGGGCCGAAGAGCCCAAACTTCAAATAACCGCCCTCAACGCTCAAAACCCCATTTTCAGTCCCCTTTGAAGCCTCATGAAGCCTCAAGAAGTCAACTCAGCCAGAGCCTTCCAGGAGTGCCGAGCTGCCCGATCCGCTCCATTTCGCGGAAGGGAACGGTGCCATCCTGGCGGTTCAGGCAGCTCGTTTAAACCAGCAGGGGCATCCCGAATCCTAAACCCTGAGACCTCCTGAAACCTCAGACCTCCCCCTGGCAGTCCATGCAGTCTCAACTCGCTACCCAAAAGATTTAACCAAGACATACTGGTACATCGCAGACTCCAGGCCTCCGCCACAGGAACGCCGTCTACAGCCAGGAGCACGTCCCCAACCTCATGCAGGGCTGCTGAAAGACAGCTCAGGGAAGTAGTGATGATTGAGAGCTGTTTTGGTCTCCTACCCCAGCACGCTTGACTCTTCATGCCCTGCAGCTCGGCGTGATGGTTGAGGCCTGACAGACCCTGGCTAACGATCCTGCGACTGCGAAGCTGCGACGTGCTGCCGAGGAAAGTCCACTGTGCACTGTGCACAGAGCTCACGCCCGAAACCCCCACACCACGCTGCGCTCCGGCCTGGATACCTGCATCCGCGGCAGGAGACAGCGGTGCAACCTGACAGCCGTGCCCGTGCTTCATTTGTGGCGAGGCTTTGGACTGTGAGAGTACATACGACATACTTGAAGGTTCAGGGGCAACTGTGAGTTATGATCAGGGTGGTAAGTACACTAGCTTCAGACTTGTAGCCCTACTTAAGCCCTTCGGGAATCTAAGCCTTCAGCCTTATTGTAGAGTCGTAGGCCCGTTTCCGGCACTTAGAACGCATTTTCAGGTGCCTCAGATCTAAACGGATGTGTTTCCTTCAGGTGCAGCCTGCGCAAGGGGCACCAAGACGTAGTCACCGGTTTAGGAATTCCAGAAACCAAACTGTCAGAAAGCTCAACCCTAAACTCGGAACCCAAGCCCCCGAAGCACCTGCACTCAGGCAACCCGTCTCGGCTTACTTCCACCTTCTCCGGAAGTATCGAACAACTTCGCGCTATAATGACTATCAATGTCAACATCGAGACGAGGCCCCTGTGACATGCTAGAGTCTGCAAACAGGCTCCCAAATCAAGGGCACAATTACATGCCACAACCCCGAACTGCAGACATGAAAATCCCTGAGCCCGACCCGAAGGAACGACAACTCTCACTGAACCAAGGTACGTCGGTCACCAGCACCCCGTCACCTCGAGCCTCCTCCTTGGGCTTCAAGGCTGCGCCCAAACCCCATATAACAACGAAATTCGCTTTGTCAGAGTGCCGGGCCAGCAGAAGAAGCAAAATCCAGAGCAAAAAACACAAACTCAAGGCTGGAGATGGCTGACCACGTATACATCACGAATTCAAAGCACTCTGGTGTATGATCTCCAATCCCAGGCGCTGTCCAGTCTAATTTGAACTACAAATGACACCAACCCCACCGCCCTAGCAATGAAAGGGCTGGAACAAAAGGCGGAAACGAGATGAAATGAAGTTGACCGACCAGCCGACCGACTGGAGGGAGGGAGAGGGAACGGACGGGACGGCAAGGGCGAACGGAAGAAAGGAACGAAGCTCTTAATGACTAAAGACACATAGCATTAAGAAAGCATCTTGAGGATGGACCCTGCAACTAAACGAACCCGTTAACACGTATAGGTAAATCCACTCAACCCTACAGCTTACACCGAATCCTTACATCCCCTAGAAAACCAAAGCCCAACCCTTCCCAACCCTCGAAAATCTTTCGAAACTCTTGCAAAATGATTGAAGACATACAGCCCCTAAACCCGGGCTGCGGTGGCGACCAGCCCATGCAACCCTTCTCTCGGCACCCTCTGAACCCTTTTGCGGCATCCATGTCTCTGACCCTAAACCCTCTAAACCCTAGACTCTAGACCCTCTGAACCCTCCCCTAGACCCTGAATCCAAAGCCCTCTAAGCCCCTTTATAACAGAGAAGCAACCTAGAACCTCTGAACCCTTTGTAAAAAAAAAGAAGGGGAGCAAGCCTCAAACCTTTCATATAAAAAGGAAGGATATCCTTCAAACCCCGAAAATTGCCCTAAAACTTATCATCGTCTCTCATACAGCAAAGGAGAGGAAGAGCTCTACGGGCTCCTTCACACGAAACTGATGTGTAGGGTTTAGGGGATCTTGGAGGGTTTAGGGCTTAGGGGATCTTGGAGGGTTTCTATAAGCTTCCTTTGAGGGTTCCGTAAATCTCCAAACCCTAGTAGAAGCAATATTACTACACGCCATATTACCTCAAAAAGAATCTTCATGCTAATGGCAATAATACCCTAAACCCTAAACCTTAAACCCTAATCATAATACTAATAGCAATAATTCCCTAAAACCATAAACCTTAAACAAACCGTGCTAACCCAAGCGGCCAGGCCCCTGAGGCGCCGAAGCGCCGGCGACTTGGCGTGCTGAAGGCGAACGCCGAGGGAGCAGAGGCCCTGCTCCGAGAGCTTAGGGAGTTACACGTTGACATCTGGCCGCGTGGCGGCGGGACTGTATGCCTTAGGGCATACACGGCAAGTGCTGTAAATCGCATGACTTCGTGCGTGTGGCTGTGGAAANNAAATGGAGGGTTTCGTGCTTCAGGAATCCAGGGACTCAAACTTAGGGCACTCATTTTAGCTCACGTTCCCCAAGTGATCCGCGACATCCACTTGACGATCCTCAGACCCGGCTGTAAATGTGTTCAATGAGATGCACGTTGCATAAAGAGGCAACATCGCTCTAAATAGCTGGTTTTGGGCATGCTTGAAAACTGGCATGAACACTTGTGAGAGCGCCTCGTGTTGCTGAACATCAAACATCCTCCTGCACATGTTGTACAAGCAGGCAGAAACGCCGCAAAATAGCAGAGTTTTGGGTTGGTTTGTGTAATATGGTCGTAACCACCCCCCAACACACCCCCCTGAACCCCTCGCCCCCCTACCCCCCTCCATACTCCCGCGCAACCCTTCTCCGGATACGAAAAATGAAGAAAAGCATATGGCCAGATACGCGGCGTGTGTGGGCTCAGGGCTCCCTTAGGGCTCTAGGGTTTAGGGTTTCGACTCTCACTCCCGCACGCAGCAGGCAAGGATCCACATCATGCCGTCACGCCTTCAGACGCATGGAACCGCCAACCAAATACACGGCACAGCAGGACATGGCAACATCATGAAAGTTGTACACAGTTCTAATGAGGCGGTCCCCGCTCATCCAGGACATTGCTCTGGGAAGGGTGTACAGGATAGGCTACAGCATCTCCTCATACCATGACTTGTATCCACTTGTGTTGAGATCGCGGGCACTTCGATGTCGCAGACGTAAGGGTTTAGGGTTTAGGCTTTAAGGCTTTGGATACATTGGGGTTTTTGCCCCCCACCGAGCTAGGAGGAAGCCCGCATTGCAGAGTGCAGTCGAGAGCACAGTTGACAGCATCGTGCTAAGCTTAATGTGGCTCTTCACGGCAAATCCAAAAGCTATACAAGCGTAGGTACCGTAGGTATCAGTCATCAGAGTCAAGGGCTCTAGAGTTTAGGGCTTAGGGCTTCGGCTCTCACACTCGGACAGTGCAGGCGAGGCTTGTGGTCTCAAGTGGACTGTGGTGAAACTAGCTGAAAAGTAAAGCTTGGACGAAAACATAGGGTTTAGGCTTTAAGGTTGGCTCCTTCAAAGAGCTTGGGGTTCAGGGTTCTAATCTTTTCGGGTATTTGTTTAGGGTCTAAGGCTTATAGGGCTCCGTTCATGTTCAGTGTGGCCATAATATAGCCTCCTGTCACGGGCCGTGCTGCACTGAATGCACGACGTACTTTGGCCCATTCCTACCAAGCTGGCAAGCACTGTGCGACCTCCTATTTGGCTTGCGATATCCATGATGTAATTCGCTTCCATTGGCGGCTTACATATATTTGGCGCCTTGAGGCTTGCCCGACCCTCTTCTACACTGTTAGACACCTGTTGACACCCTGTCTACACTTCAAGAAAGATGACATTGGACCGCAGAGCTGTCACCACCAGAATCTGGATCGCCCCACGTGATGACTGATCCGTCCGCCAGGATTGCGGCGAAGGCTTCGTATGTAGCCTCAATCTGCCGGACATCCCTCAGCTGGTCTTGGACCTCAGAGCTGTCACCGGATCGCCCCATGCGGTGACTGAGCCATCTGCCAGGATTGCGGCAAATGCCCCGCCTGTAGCCCGAACTTGCCGGACACCCCTCAGCTGATCCTGCACCTCAGAGCTGTCGCCGCCAAGCTCTGGATCGCCCCATGTGATGACTGATCCATCCGCCAGGATGGCAGCGAAGGCATCGTCTGTAGCCTCAACCTGCCGGACATCCCTCAGCTGACCTTGGACCGCAGAGCTGTCACCGCCACCTTCTGGATGGCCCCATGTCATGACTGAGCCATCTGCCAGGATTGCAGCGAATGCACCGCCTGTACCCTGAATATGTTGGACATCCCTCAGCTGATCTTGGACCTCAGAGCTGTCACCCCCAAATTCTGGATCGCCCCACGTGATGACTGATCTATCTGCCAGGATTGCAGCGAATGCCACGCTGGTAGCCTCAATCTTCCGGACATCCCTCAACTGATCTTGGACCTGAGCGCTGTCCCCGCCACCTTCTGGATGGCCCCATGTCATGACTGAGCCATCTGCCAGGATTGCAGCGAATGCCCCGTTTGTAGCCTCAATCTGCCGGACATCCCTCAACTGATCTTGGACCTCAGAGCTGTCACCACCACATTCTGGATCGCCCCATGTGATGACTGAGCCATCTGCCAAGATTGCAGCGAGAGCTTGGCCTGCCGCCTGAATCTGCCGGACATCCCTCAGCTGACCTTGGACCTCAGAGCTGTCACCGCCACCTTCTGGATCGCCCCATGTGATGACTGAGCCATCTGCCAGGATTGCAGCGAATGCCCCGTTTGTAGCCTCAATCTGCCGGACATCCCTCAGCTGATCTTGGACCTCAGAGCTGTCACCACCACATTCTGGATCGCCCCATGTGACGACCTTGTCACCTCCACAGCTCCAGAACGCGAAGGCAGCTCTTGACGCTGCGACTTGCGTTTGAATCGCTATCGCAGTGACGTGGCCTCCATCTCGCAGTCCCGCTGATTGCAAACCTTCCGTTGGGTCAGTCAGCGCGTGTCCTTCTGCGGTAATGAGTTTCAAAGAGCCAAGCCTGAAAGTTTTCTGCGCCAAAATCTGCAGGTCCCTGACTTTGGAGGCCGCAGAGATTGTTAAGGTCTCACATAGACCGCTGGGCAAAGCTGCTTCTATTCGGAACATGTCGCGGAAGGTTCAAGGGTTCGAAACCCTTGAACACACTTCCCGGATAGCATGTCGTCACTTGTCAACAAGCAGTTTAAGTTGGACGTATTTCTGGGAAACTTTGATGGTTGTTACTGAATTAACTACGTACGGGTGTGTGCGTGTGTATGTGTGTGTGTGTCCACGTGTGGAGGAAATCGAGTAATATATCAGTACTAGAGTATATACATGCATACATATGTTTATATCTCTCAAACTGTGTATTGCGTGTGATAGATGGTTCAGCATCAGGGATTTCGAACATTTTTTGATCAGGATGGACATGGATGCTTGTGTTGGGATCACCCGAGACTCCTTGTATTACTACGTGGGGTTTCCACAAATACAAGTAATAGGTATCAATGATCCACGCTGCGAAAGTACTTGTATGATTTCATTAGCCCGTCCGAGTCAAGAAATCAGAGTAACTTGATCTGTCCAACACATTACCAACTGTCCAACCATTGATTTTGCGGAAAATATACACCCGAAAACTTTTCTGGATAGTACAAACCGTGCGCCCCTCCTCAAGGACCAAAGATTCCATGGATTAGGAGAATTCCCATTGCCTCGATCTGGCTTAAGTCGAGCTTTGGCGGATCGACCCAGGAACAGTGTTGCTTGGTGTCAAATATCGTCGTCGTCTACTTTATTTCTTTGATGTCGGGTTTCATCGAATGATGGACTGAAATAATTCTTGATGGCGTCATTATGTGTGTCGTAATTTGTCACGCACGTTCATTGATGATACCGTGTCTGGCTCATGTAGGATATTTAGATATAACACCGACACAGACACAGAGACACACACACACGTGTATATATTGACATATATATATCTCTCTCTCACTGCTTTGATACCTGGCCCATACACAGATTCATGTCTGTCTTGATTTCTGGTTTCATGACGAGGTAAAGGTATGATGGCTTCAGGGGTATCATGACATCTGGAGCCTCAAAGGCTTCCAGCTGCGGCAGTCAAAACCATGCCACCGAAATGGACGAAACTTGATGGAAATCATTCGACGTGGCAAGAATTGCCACAGATGGACCATCTTGGTTCATTTAAATCTTAATCCAACCTTTTGATGTTTATCTGATTTACTGTGCATGTAGTTGGCTCCGTCTTGTTGTTTGATCATGGCCAACTACAAAGAATCCGGGCATTCACAGCTTTTGCAGCTTCTCGCAGCCAACTGGCAGTGGTAATTGGTACCATTGAGAATAAGACGAGGGCAACTATGAGGGATACAAAAAAGTCCAAAAGCGTTACTTGGGGTAATCAGGGGCTACAGGAACTAAGGGCTACTGCTACCTAAGCAGGGCTACTGCTACGTAAGGGATGAACTTTATGGAATACCATGCGGGGTACTCAAACGGTCATGGTACCACAAGGGGTAACTACAAGTTTAGGATCTGTCTAGGGGTCAGGCTACAGGGTGTAGGGTTGAGGGTGGTTTCGGGCTTGGGTTTAAAGATGTGCTGCCTCTCGCCCAGCTGGGGGGATGCTGGCATTGCAACGGGTTCACCCTTTTTTGCAACAGGCTTTAAAGGGGGTTACCTTAAACCCGAAACCCTAGGGCTGGGGTTTAGAATGCATGGCCTGGGGCTTAGAGTCAGGGGGTTTGACCCAAACCCATGGTTCAGGGTTTCGGCGCTCACACTCGGACAATCCAGGTTCAGGGTTTAGGGTTTAGGGGGTTTGACCCCAACGCTACTGAAGACCGTCAAAGTTTGGCAGGCAAGGTGTTCAGAGTTAGGTCTAGGAGCTTGTGAATAATGGTTTGGGAGTTCAAGGGTGTGGGGTTTCTTGTGTCTAGGCTACAAGAAACCAGAAGTTCCGGAACCTGCGGCTCCAATTCCTTCTTCGGGATCCAAGTCTGAAACCCAAAGCCCTTCAAGGGGACAATGAAGCAGAAAGCGCATCTAGAACACTTGAGGGCCAGGGGCATGGAGAACGAAAGCTCGGTCTTTCTTTACAGAAGGACTCAACGGCTACACACACACGCAAACGCAGAGAGACATGGCTGCACTGCACAAACACTTTACAAACAATTACTGATATATCAATTTAGCCT